AGATTGAGTGCACCAAACCTAGTATATATTATAGCTTAACAACATGGTGCATCATTCATTACTGCTTCTTTACCTTTGTGGGTGTGTGACTGGTTTGAAGTTGAAGTTCCTGGCCAGTGTACCAGAGAACTTTGTACATGTGTCACTAGCTCAAGAAAAGATGGTGACTCAAAATTCAAAATGCAGTTTCTACTGGATGTGTACTGCTTTTGCACCATGGTGTAGTTAAAAAGAATCAAGGTGAAACATACTGTATCACAACTGTTGGTGTTGAGAAAATAACTAAATAACCAAGGAAGACAATTGGCTTTAAGAACAGCTGTGATTATCCTAGGAGTACTCATGGTTAGCCCTGGAGTTGCTTTTCAAGAAGGTAATAAATAGTAATCGATTCAGACTGATATTGTGCCAGTTCAGTTGGGGTCATCTTTTGTTCTAATAGCTTTCTTTGGTTTTCAAAGGCACTGCCTACTGATGGAGCTCCTGTTCTGTCCATAGAGTTCTTACGCGTTGTGTGCTCTAGTCCATAGTCCATGTGGAGGGCTGACTAGTCACCTTCCAGGTGCTTCAATTTAGCTCTTCTATTTTTTGACCTTCTCTTCCTTATCTTTGAGTAGAGCAGATAACACAGAAAATGGCCCTTTGAAGGCATAGGAAGCTTACTGATTCCCTCATTACCATATCAGTGGTTGCAAGCATTACAGTGTGACTACATTCATTCCTTAAAAGTAGAATGGCAGATACAAATGACTTTTCGTTGTCTTGGCTCTCTAAGATCAAATTGCCTCTCCCTTAGATAGTGTGTTTGAATATGATATGGATTTATCATGGCATTTTAGAAATGGCATGAAACAGAGATTTGGTGCTAAAGATGAATTATAAAGTTCAAGGCAATCTAAAATTCTAATTCTGGGCTGTGGGTGTGGCCTCAGCACTCCCTGCAAAAGCACAATGCCAAAGAAAAATAGCACCAACAAAACAACTGAACAAAAAGCCCAAAATTAGTATTTTATTTCTAATTATTAAAAGTTAATTAATGTTGATTTATTACACTGTGGTAACATTGTCACAAAGTTGTATCATTAATTGTGATAACACACTCCATATTAATATATTAAAGAAGTTCAGGATTACCTGATCTGTAAGGGTACAAATTTTTATCATAAAAATTATATAATAAAGAGATTTATTTCTATATTTAAATGTAAATTACTCTGCATACCAAAGTACTTTGGGGTATGGTTTTCTGAGCCGCATTATTAACTAAACTTCTTTTAAAATAGTCATCAGCATAGGGCAGGAAATGAAAGTTCTATAACCACTTGGAATCCCAAATCTCCATTACTGAAGATGCTTGAATTATCTTTTTGTCCTCAATTAAAAGGCTTTTGGATGATCATTTACTTTTGAAAGTCTATATGGTTTTTCCTCCAAAAGGGATCAAGACAATTTTAGAAACAAAATTTTTATTGAAACTAGAAATTGCAACCATTTAGTCTAAGATAATTAAAGCCAATTAATGTTTTTACTTTACAATTCTGGAAGCAGGCAGACTTCATTCCATAAAATTAAATTCACTTTCCAATAGTCTATACAGAGGGTTTTTTTTTTAATTTAAATTTTATTGTAAAGGTGATGTACAGAGGAGTTACAATTACATATGTCAGGTAATGAGTACATTTCTTTTTGAACGTTTCTTTTTTTGAACATTTTCTCCCACTTTTTCCCCTCTTGACTCCCCTTCCCCCCAAGTTATAAAGTTCGGTTCCAACATACTGTCTAGTGAGCATCATTGCTGAATTGGTTCACCCTTTGTCCCGCCATTTCTGTAATTCCCCTTTCCCTTCCTGATAAACTTATATACAAGACAAAGAATACAGAAATCAAAAACAGTAACAAAGGGAATAAATCAAAGGGGAAAAAATGAAAGGAAAAAGTATAAGAAGTACAAAAACTACAATAAAAAAACCTCATTTCCATTTCTTGGAGTTCTTTTTGATAACCATCATTTTATATAGTTATACGTGCATAGTTATTGAGCCATTGTGATCCTTTCCTAAGAATATCCTCCTTTGTTCTCAATGAGCGAAAGCTTAGAGTGCTGTTAATTATTCACGTCCACATATAATTGTCTTTTACTGTCTGTTGGATTAACTTGTAAATTTATAGCATATTCTATTTATTACTAATGAGAAAAATCATGCAACCTGTTTCTTTGGGTCTGGCTTACTTTGCTTAATGTATTTTTTGCAAGTCTTTCCCTTTCCTTACAAATGGGGCAATGTCATTCTTTCTGATGGAGCATAGAATTCCATTGTGCATATCTATATCTATATATATGTGATATATATATGTATATGTATATATATATATATATATATATATATATCACATTTATGTTGTTGATCCATTCATCCACTGAGGGCCATCTGAGTTGATTCCAGGTTTTTTATTCTTACTTTAGAAGTTACTTGCCTTGTGAGGTGAGAAAAGAGAGACATAGCAACAGAAAAGCAATTGATTAGTTAATAACAGGTTGTTGGTTTTGTTGGTTTTGTTTTGTTTAACTTCATGTCAATGCTGGGGTTTGAATCTCAAGCCTTACACTTTTGCTTAGCTTTTTCCACTCAAGACTGGAACTCTACTACGTGAGCCTCACCTCCATTCCAGCTTTTTGCCAGTTAGTTGGAAATAAATTTCTTAGATTTCACTACCTGGGCTGGTTTTGAACCAGGATCCCCAGATCTCAACCTTCTGAGTAGTTAGGATCATAGGTGTGAGATATCAACATCTTGAAGGGTTTTTTTTTTTTTAAATGAGGATTAAAACAAGAAGACTACCATTATCATGTTGACTGAAAATGGCTCATAAACTCTGTCTGAGATAGAAAAGATCATCAGATAACAACAGGTTGGTGATGTGGGGCCTGTATGGACTCCATTTTTATTTTTATTTTGCTCTAAGGAAACTAGTCAAAATAATGGCCCCTTGTAATTTTTATTTAACAGCTCTAATGGAAAGAATGGCTCGGAGGGGAGAAATCTTTTATTCACTTTTTATCCCTCAGCATCTGAAATAGACTCTAATGCATAGTGGTCATTCAGTAAATACTTGTCTAAAGTAACTTTTGTCTGTTGCAATGAAAAGGAAATAGTGGTTTATTGTTTTAATCCTATTGTTTCTATATCCATATCTTAAATGATTTATCATCTTAAACTAAAAGCAATGCTATAATCAACAATCCAAGTATTATTAAGACCTATTAGAAGAATTTGTAGGAGAGTAATGGAGAAATGAATCAGAAGAGGACAATGAACAATATAAGTTGTTTTATAATGATTAAAAAGGGAAATGGAGAAATGAATCAGAAGAGGACAATGAACAATATAAGTTGTTTTATAATGATTAAAAAGGGAAATGGAGACAAAGAGACATAAAGATACTCACATATTAGCAACTCATTTGAAGAGCTTAACTCCATTCAAACTGCACGTGAGGAGACCCTTGTAGTTTGGTTGAAGAGGTAGCGTAGAAAAACAATCTAAGCCTCTCTAAACAAAGCTCTGGAATTCTGTAATCATTCTAGCCCAGAGAGTTTTGCCACTCTTTTTTTCTTTTTTTGTAGCTGGATAGAAGGTAAAAGCTCTTAAATGACAGGTTTAGGAGTTGTTGTACTAAGTGGAAAGAATCAAGACTTGTTGACAACTGTGATGTAAGCTGAGTCAACAAGAGAGAATCAGATCAGCTACAAGATTCCAAGCTGGAAGCACATGAAACAACCCTGTGGTGTATCTATTGGTAGCGAATGAAGAAGAGAGGGTGAGAGCCCTTTCAGCAAAGGGACTCAACATGGAAGAAAACATCTAAATGGAAATCACAGCCCTAAGAATGTGGAACCAAAGAGGAGACCAGGGGCTTGCCAAAAATCATGTATATCTCGTCGATTATGGAATCACCCAAATAAAAACCAAATTTAGGACAGCAGAATTGGGGGTGGGTTGGAGGCTGAAGACAAAGCCTTCCCAGACCTTCAGATTCAAAAAAAAAGGACAAAATGAGAGAGAATAAAGACAACACAGGATCATTTTGAACGCTGATTAGCCCTGGGCATTTCTTCTCCCTCTTCTAGGCTGCAGCTCTTGTTCAGCAGAACCTTTCTGCTCGCCCTTTCCACTGTCGGTTCAGCAAAATCTTTTTTGGAAAAAAAAAAAAAGCGAGCTGCTAAGCAAACAAATACGATTTGGCTTGCTTCTTCTAACTTATTCTTGCTAAGGGCAGTGGCAGAAAACTACTCCCATCAAATTAGCCACTTGAATTGCCTTAAATATCAGTAGCACTGATTAAGTTCATTTACTAGAGAGGAAAATGCATTTCAAGGAGCAGGGTATATGAGAAGGAGACCAATTCTTTCCACAGTTCAAGACTTTCAGGTCCTTAAGACATTAAAATTGCCCTCTGACGGAAACTAATAAACTGTTCCATGCATTTGATGAAGTTTCAGCTGGAAGAAGCCTCCACTTTCTTCCTGCTCTTCAAATAAAATTGAAAAATAAATAATAATTCAAGTTTTAGTAAGAAAAAAAAGTAATTGGTGTGGGCACAAAGAAAACACTACCAGAAGAAACGTTTCCATTGTGGAAAATACAATGTGATCGAGGCCAATGTTGAGCTGGCTTCTGTAGTAAAATTTGAGCTTTAGGCTAATATTTTTTTTTCATGTTAAAAAAATGGAGACAGTAATTTACACAAATACTTGTAGCTCTTATTGGCAGCATATTTTACAGTGATCTTACAAATACTAAATTCTTATTGAAAGAAAAAAAATAGATTCCCAGATAGGCAAAACTGTTGCATTTCACCCCCTCTCACAGTCAGTTTACAGATGCATATTATGTTGACATCATGCCAACCTTTTATCTTTGCAGAGAGGCCAGTGAGACTTGAACTCTGAGCATAATTTGTAACAAGCAGGACTGATGTGCGCAGAGAAGGAATGAAGTATGGATGTGAAAGAACGTAGGCCTTACTGCTCCCTGACCAAGAGCAGACGAGAGAAAGAACGGCGCTATACAAATTCGTCAGCAGACAATGACGAGTGTAGGGTCCCTACGCAGAAGTCTTATAGTTCCAGTGAAACCCTGAAAGCTTTTGATCACGATTCCTCGAGGCTGCTCTATGGAAACAGAGTAAAGGATTTGGTTCACAGAGAAGCAGACGAGTATTCTAGACAAGGTAGGTAACTGTTCTAGTAAAACAAGGCATGCCCAAATGTTGCTAACTTGAGTTGTCACCGCTCCCTCTCCCCACCCCTCCCCTGTCCTGCCAGAAATTCTGGCAGGATTATTTGCCAATTTTGATGTCCTACTCTTGTTCTCAATTTAGAGAATTAAATGCTCACACGGTATTCCAGTTGAGAGGTTAGAAAGCCATGTGTGGCACATTGGCCCCCCCAGACATGAACACTGACACAATGTCGAAAGTAATCCCACAGCTCCATGTTTATAGGTGAGGTTTACAGTTCACACACATATCCATGCATTGTGAACATAAGCCTGCAAATCGGTCTCTAGGGTTTCCTCTCAGTTGGATACAGACATTGCTTTTATAGTTAGAACTGATCCAAGGGAAAGAGGCCATGGTAGAGGATGGTCACCTGTCCCAAGAATGATGATCCTCGATTATCTCATAATCCAGTCAGCCCAGTTCTGCATAGGTACCCATGTTATATAAGATCCTGACACCAAAAGGTTCTGTTTTATTACTCCCGGGCAACCTAGCACTTTTAAATGACACCATAAAAGATCTTACTTTCCTGTAATATACTCTATTATAGCTTGGTCATTTGCATAGGTTTGTTGAACATTTTACATTCCCTTTTCTGCCAGCATAGCCTACCAGTAGAATAAAGACTTCTGTGACTTTATTTCCTAATGCTAAACTGAACAATTTTCACATGTAAGACAGTAGTCTGAGGCATACAGAGTTATATTTCATCTAATACAGTCTTAAAGTAAAAATAAAACCCTCTTACATTTTGTTTTGAGTATTACAACTTACATAGCACTTCCTGCCCCTTAGCCAATTAATCCAGAAGTGAGAAAAAAATAAATTAAGCATCCATAATAAAGAATATATTCATTGTTTCCTAATCAACTCGCAAATCATGTGGCTCAGCGTTTGATATGCGGAAGGAAGGAACAAATTTGAGGATAGGTGATAGGAGGCAGGTTGTTTAGAAGTCTGAAAATATCCTATGATTCTTTGCCCCACTGCATTGCAGAAAGGGCCCTCCTAACTAGACTGAGATGGTATTTACTCACCCAAACCAGTTTGCATCTAAGAAAGTTCATTTGATTTTCTAAAAAGAGATTTTTTTTTCCCCTTTAAAGCCCACCAGCAAATCATAAGAAAGGACAAAATAGCTTCGAGCTGGCAATTCATTGTGTAAGGGGAGCAATAGAAAATTTTTTTAAAAAACGAAGTATGAACACTCACTCTGCATTTGATTTTTCCGTCTCGTATCATCTGTACGGCTGAAATGAATGATCCATGAACACGTTTGTCACCAGTTAAAAAGAAAACAGTGGGTATAGTGTAGACATGTGTGCGGTCAGACCCCAAATACAATGCTTTGCTCTTTGAAACAAACCTCACTGTTGCATGCCCTGTGTGTGTGTGTGGGAGGGGGCAGCGGGGATCCCCACGTGGTGGGGAAAAATAGCAGCACATGTGGCAGATGCATAGAGGAGACTCATCCCCACCCCAAGCAAGCATTTCATTTTGGCAGAGCAGAAGATGCTTCAAGAAGGTTAAAAATAGCACTCTGAAATTTTCACCTCCTAGGCAGCGTTAATCCAGCGCAGACGGCTGTTGACGACATTGGCAGCACCATCTGTGGAGAAACCCCGGAACCCAAGCTCTTAGGGAACCAAATAGTACTAGTACTCAGCTCCTCCTCCTGAGGCAGGGACTGGCTAAGTAAAGGGACAAAGGAAAGAGAAAGTGAGCCAGGCAGCAGATGGAGACCTCTTGTTAAGAGCTGAATGGAGTAGTGAGAAGTAGTTTAGGGCAGAGGGGAAAGCAAGGTTTGATGATGCTGTGATTCACTTGACAGACGCATTCCTCAATCACCATTTATGAAGAGTATCAGGGGAACCTATCACTTTTTTCTAGCAAACCTGTACGGATGCCTTTTTGCATGCCATGTACTTAAGCAGCTTGTATGAGATAGGTCTCCATGTTTGCTTTCTTTCATGGGGATATTTAGGGTTTGGTGAGCCCATGGCTGGTGCACAACCACCACCTGGGACTTGAACCTAGGCCAGTCAGTCTTTGTCTACTAGTCAGGCTTTGTATCTGTGCAGTTGCCAAAGCTAAACACAGGCAATTCAGTGTAATAATTGCCCCCTTGGCCTACAGGAGTTGATTTTCTTCCATTCTGTGTTAAAATGGTGATGGTGTGAATCGAGAAAAGTGAGCAAGCAGAACATGTTTGAAGGAAGTAAAGCGGGTCTGATTGTAATGGGGTGGGTGAGGGTGAGGGAAACATTGCAAATGGTTTTCCTTCCTTGTGTTTGGATCTGGGGAGTGTTCCTAGCAGGAAGGGTAGGTGTAGGAGAGAATGAGCAACGCAAGTCTGCCGTCAGATTATGTTTTCCTTGAGCAAGCACAATGAAAAGTCTTTCCAGACTTTCATTTTCTTTGAACCCGACAAATGTCAATTTTTCCTCACTGACTGTTATGCTGTGGGATTAATTATTTAATTGACAAAATGTGCTTTCTGCCACAGCTCCTGACATCATACACATAATAAAGATGAAATATTAGAAATATTAATAGTAGCCAGAAATCTTTGAAACAATTCCAAAGAATCATGCTAATTTAGCTTGTTCAGAGAGTTTTATACCTTGGATGACATAGAAAATGCTGCTTTCGCTGGAAGAAAGGCTAAGAGAACTCTAGTAGTGCAATTACATAGATAATCAAAAGGGAGAACGATGTGTTGGTTTTGTTTTTGTCAACCAATTTTATGGCCTATCATCAAACTTGATTTTAGTCATTTTGTATGGCTTCACTGACTGGCAGGTAACTATCATTAATTACATGTTGTATTTAGACACTAAAAAGCTAGGGTTATTTCGTTTTCGGTGGTGTGTAATGTGATTGGATCTCTCATAGGTATCCTCTCTCCCAATTTAAATTTCTTCTTGGGGTTTGCTGGTGATGGAAATAGTTGCTCTTTCAACAGCTGTAGAGAGCTCTCAGTAGGTGTGATGGGGTTTGGGTAACAATAGCATGTTTTACATTCTTGAATACTATTTACTTTGTTTCATCCTTGAAAGCAATTGATGCCATCAGGTCTGAAATACACTTCCCCATGCAACAGCTACATAAGATCACCTTGCAGTTTTTGAGAAAGGATAAAAAGGAAAGATCTGCTATCCCCACATTCACCTCTGCTGCAGTTCTCTGTGCTATGTTTTGTGCCTAAAGTATGCTTATCAAAATCCAACAAGGAATTTTGGCCTTAAGGGGGAATTTTGAAAAGATGTAATGTCTGCAACTAAGAATATTTTCAAGCTGAGCGCCAGGGTCTCACACCTGTAATCCTAGCTACTCAGGAGGCTGAGATCTGAGGATCACAGTTCAAAGCCAGCCCAGGCAGGAAAGTCCGTGAGCTCTTATCTCCAATAAACCACTAGAAAAACCAGAAGTGGTTCAAGGGGTAGAGCATTTGCCTTGAGCTGAAGAGCTGAGGGATAGTGCCTAAGTCCAGAGTTCAAGCCCCACAACTGACAAAGAAAAAAAAAAAGAATAGTTTCATTCCTTTGAACCATAAGTACAAGGATAACAAAAATAAAATAAAATAGTCACCTTTGAGGCAGTCCTTATCCAGTGTACTAAAGAGTAATCTGGTGCTGAGGTTGTGAACTGCAGAATTTTTAAATGAAAAGATTACCATCTAATTTTTATTTCTATAATTGACATGGAGAAGAAGGTTATTGTTTTTTTTATTTGAAAGCCAGCATCCTATCTGTTTTTACATAAGTAAGATCAGGAGAGAAGATTTATTTGCAAAGATGCAAAGGGATGGAGGAAGGCAGATTGACAGACTGGTTGCCAAATGTGACTCATGCCATCTTCCCTTGGAGTGTGGTTCCACCCACAGAAGCCCGTCTTTTGGGAACTTGCCTTCTTGCAGGTCTGGGCAGATCCCACAAACATTGTTTATTCTCCTTCTCTCATACATGATTGAATCAGGATCAGTTGGGATGCAGTTTAGGGGATTCTGGGGAAAGGAGATGAAGACCTTCCTAGTGGGCTGCATCCTGAGTCCTAATCTTGTGTGTGTGTGTGTGTGTGTCATATGGGAAATCCAAAAGAGGACCTCGAGCATGCTAGGTAAGCAATGTGCCACTAAGCTACATCCCCAGCCCTAGTCCACTGTTTATGCTATATCCTAGATACAAACTTGTCACTTACCAAAAAGAGAGAAAGAGAGAGAGAGAGAGAAAGAGAAGAGAGAGAGAGAGAGAAAGGAAGGAAAGAAAGAAAGAAGGAAGGAAGGAAGGAAGGAAGGAGAAGACAGAGGGGGGGTGATTACAAGAGTGTGAACTGTCCTATAAATACATACCCAGGGTTCTGGCATGGTTAGTAGCCTGAATGATACTTCATCCCTCACTTCTCTCGGTTGATTCTTTCCATCATCTGAGCTGAGCAGTGATTAAGGATGCAAAAGCAAGGATGCAAATGAAATCTGGAAGCTATTAGAGTCCTGATGGACCTAGTTGAAGCAGGTACTTGTTCCTTTAGGGCAAATGAGAGCTCCAAATGAGGTAAAGATCACAAAGAATGCTATGACTTGGTGCTTCCAAAGAGAGCCTGGGCTGGCCTACCTCTCTCAAGGGCCATACCTAAGTGAAATCACTTCCCAGGGCAGCTGGCTTGCTTTACCCTTCAGAAACTGGAGAAACCTAAATAAGTATGTTCATCACTCTTGATATTAGGAGAATGCCTTACTTGGGAAGCAGGGAGTGGAAAGGCTTATCCTTGAATTCATTCAGAATTTCCCACTATCTCTGAATAAAAGGAAACAGTGTGCTTAATGTCACCTAGCAAGCAGGAAGTGTGATGGAATGAAAAATGTTCAGGAAGCACATAATGGAAACATGCAATAGAGATAAGAAAGAATGTATGACTCAAACCAAAATACGGTATTTCTATAAGAGCCA